GAGAGAGAGAGAGAGAGAGAGAGAGAGAGAGAGAGAGAGAGAGAGAGAGAGAGAGAGAGAGAGAGAGAGAGAGAGAGAGTACGAGGCAGAAGAAAGTCCTCACCACTTTGTCTGTCCATGCTACTACTGTTCTCATCTTGTGCGCCCACTTAGGCCTTACACCACAAACTATCTATTGCCAATCAGTCCACGGGCTACCGGTAGCTTGCTCTCAGCCAAGAACTTGCAGTTTCAATTCTGGTGTTTCTCAGATGGGAAAGAGTCCTGCATTGTTTTGGTGACAAGCATGAAGGCCACAAGAAAGGGGGGGGGGGGAAGAAAAAGCTGGTGTCAATGCCTTAATATACGAGGATGATACTTTGTACCCCCCTGGTAGTTGGATGGAACACACATATAAGTTGATATAACTCTTGAAATCTCCAAATAGTTGCATGATATCCTACTCGTTGTTGTGCAAAGGGGAGGCTTCAAAATTGAAAATTACAGAGAGAACATGAGAAAAAGGGAGATTGCCTGGAAAAAAAAAGAAAAAAAAAGAAACCGCCTGGGAAAAAAAAGAAGAGAACACCGGCAAAAGGGCAATAGAGTCAAGAAAACCACCAGTACCTTTCTCAGCTATTTTGCCATGGCGCGCCGGGTTAAGCGGGAGGGCGGCGGGGTGCGGTGCTACCATACTGAAAATGGCTGGAACCTGGCGGCGCCAGCCAAAATGAGGCCCGTGGCCCCGTGCCGTTTTTCTTCTTGTTTTTTCGGCGCGCAGGACGATTTTAGGCTTGGCATGGATAGCTGAGAAAGGTACTGGTGGTTTAAAACCAGCAGTATGACAAAAAACAAACAGCAGTACAACGGACCTATGTTTCGCATCCAAATAAATCAAACCAGTCCTCACCAGACGGGTACATCAAAAAAAAAAAGTGCGGCTTTCTTTCTTTTTCACAATCGCAAGTTCCGGGCCCATACTGGTGGCCCAGGTTTAATAATGGTAGAACCGTAGACGGGTCAGATCGGAACTCAGGGAACCATGAAAAACACCCCTCTATTTGTGCCTGGGGGGTCGATTAGACCCACCAGTCCCGGAGATCCTTCTGCACACCTCTGAGTGTCTGACAGCTTTTCGTCAGACAGAAATGTCTAGAATGCAAGGAAAAGTTGCAATGTGAATGACAATAAACCAGATTGCAACATTTGAATTTTGAAGCAAAGAAATCCAGAAGATAACTTCGAGAAGATACGGAAAGCAGAATGCACAGTGAAATCACACCAAATAAGATTTGATTGAACCAGCATTGAAGTCACATTCACATGGTAATGACAGCCCCCACGTCGCCTCCAATCACGACTATTCAACAATGTTGCAGTCCTACTGGGGCACTGCGCCCCGACTACAGACATCCTACTCCCTAGACCTGGACTCCTATTTCGCTACAACAGGTCGCATGATTGAAGATCGTCAGCCCGATGCCGCACGGAGACTCTGAATTAACAACTACCCACTTCTCGTCACCAGGTGAGTGCCTCATCACAATGCTCCACATCCACGACCGTCAACAGTCCGCCTTTGCCCAAGGACCTCTGCCTATTCCCACTCGGCTACTGAGTGGCCAGCCCGGCCACAGGCACTGGGACAGGGCGTAGCCTGGCTGGGACTGGCTGCGCCCTGTCCCAATGCGGCAGTGCCTGTGGCCTGGGTTCCTTGCAGAATCTGCTTGGGGCTAAACTGTAAGTGCGCTGGGCCTGGGCATCTTCAACCAAACAGGGGTTGGGCCCTATCTGTTGGTTGGACATGCTGCATGCAGCAATCAACCCACAGGGCCCCATTTTCTGCTCTCACCGGTCTCAATACAGGCCAAGGACAAAATTTGCAGGCCCGCCTTCACGCAGGGCAGGCAGGGCCTTTTTCCGCACAAGAACAGGGTTAATGGTGTAACCGTGGGGAAGGGGGGGTGGGTGAAGCCCTTAAGAAAAAGAATAGGGACCTGGCAATGGTTTTGAGATCCTTCTTTCAATTTTCCTATTTTAGAATTTGAGAAATTAAATCCGATTTTCTGTGCTTCTTTCGGGATCAGGGTTCATTGCGCGTGTGCATCTGCACTTTGCCTCCTTTGCACAAATGCCCCTCCTCTTTCAGACCACTACCAGAAGTCCAGCCAGCCACAAGACCACACCCAGTACATCTGCCTGCATTCTGATAAAGGCATTAAAAATTTAAAACCCTCTGACAATGGAGGCAAAAAGTCCTAAGGCATTTGAGATTCTGTTTTTCAAATCCAGAAGTCAAGAAACCCTGAAGTTTGGGAGGTAGATGTGTAAGAGCCATGCCATGATGGAGAATGCAACACCTGGAGGAGCAGACTAAGACTTACCCCCCATCGCATCTGGTCGTCATGGCGCCCACATTCAGTCAAAATATAGACTTACCCCATTGCATCTGGTCGTCATTGCACCCACATTCAGTCAAAAATATTACTACCGATTGCCCGCCCTTCCTGGGGTTGAACTGCGGAACATTGACATACTCATTGCCCTTGCTGTGAGTCTCTGCCCTAGAACCACCGCGACCGCCAGGCCTCATTTTCCCAATGCTGGATTTTGCCCACCCCTGGGCTACCGAACCATTGTGGGGTTCAGGCCTGGCAGCGTCAGATGCATGTGTCACATTTAAGCCAGTGGAGCAGATCTGCCGGGATGGAAGATCCTGCTCTGGCAAACTACGAGAGAGAGAGAGAGAGAGAGAGAGAGAGAGAGAGAGAGAGAGAGAGAGAGAGAGAGAGAGAGAGAGAGAGAGAGAGAGAGATGATGGTGGAGAAAGACCCTGTCAAGCAGGGAGACCACAGCACACAGTACACACCTCACTCTCACACTGTACATGATGTACTCCAAGACAACGGACTACAATGAATGAGGACTGAAAAAAGAAGAAAAAGAATTGAGGACTGAAACAGACTGCAAGCTGGGGTATACCCGCAGTGGACTGACTGCACTGGACTCTCCGGTACCAACGGTGTTACTGGTTGAAATAATAAACAGGCTGTGGGATCAGGCAGACGGCCTTCTCCCACAGGCCGAACAGTCACAAACCCAAATAGCCCCAGCTATAGGCTGGGAGAAAAGAGTACGGCTGCAGCCACAAGTTTTGGACAGGCTATACATATATATATATATATATACAGTGTAATCAGTGAGGGGATTCTGCAGACTGTTGAGGGTTCAGCCTCCTGATGAGTCGGTGAAACTCCGACAAAACAGTTTGTCACAGCCCCTCGTTTGTTGTCCTCTTCTCTC